ACTGCCTCCGGGGCACTCCGCGCGAGCGGCCCGAAGCGGAGCGGGACCGACGTCGGTGACAGAGCCCCGCAGGCGCCTCCGCGCTGGAGGAGCGCGGGAGCCACGGGGGCCGGGCAGACCTGTGCAGAGGTCCGGCGGGAGCTTGCATCTGCAGTCGGCCAGACGCCCCGGATGGCACCCGAGTGAAAACATCGATTGACATTTTATCGGAGGGCACCAACTATACACCAACACCGATCCTGGCCCAGGATCACCCTGGGCCCAGGATCGGTGTATATGCCTTCTTGCCCAAGGCAGGGGGGCGTATACACCGATCCTGGGCCCAGGGTGATCCTGGGCCAGGATCGGTGTTGGTGTATAGTTGGTGCCTTCCTATTTTATGTTGCGAGTGAAACTTTGATTGGAAAGCACACTTAATGGGTTTGCAGAAATTGCAGGCGGGATTGCGCCCGAATGTTGATCTGGGGTGCTCGCCACGGAGCCTAACTTCGAGGTTGGCGAGAGTTCGGAAGCTTGAAAGAGTCGGGGTTACAAGCGATTCCCCGTTACTCCCTGCTCCTCCTCCTCTTCCTCCATTTCTTTTTGTACCATCCCTTTCATCTCCCGCACATCCCCCCTTCCCCCCCCCCTCCATGCGCCTCCTGTTCGGGCATCTGGAAGAATCCATGCAAAGCCAGATTCGGACAGAAGACGTGGCGGCTCGCTTTTAAGAACGAGCATCCGCGCGGATTTTCCCGAGCGGTGTTTATTTCTCCCCCGCTCCACATCTGTCCTCCTCCCCGCCATAGCCCACGCGCCCCCCGTCCACCCCGTCGTCCATTTTTTCCTCTTATGCTTCCTTCCTCCGTATACTTCCCTCGAGGGTGGATAGACCTCCTGCCCTGACATGTCGATCAGTGAATTGGCCGCTGTCGATTGAGAGGGCGCCGCGGCCGTTCTTTTTGCGGGTCCCCAGGCCGTTTTCACTAGAGGGAGGTTCACTAAGGAGAGGCTTGTCCGCCGCCGTTTCCCGCTGGCTCCCTCTCCCTTCTCTGATTTCTCCCCTCTGTGCCACCACTCTCGCCTCCAATGCGTCGTCGCGTCTCTCCTGTCAAAGCCACGTTCCTCCACTATCGGTTGCAGCAAGGGTACGGGAGGACGAGGATGGTCGAGGAGGAGGACGAGGATGATGAGGAGGATGTAGTATGTGATGTTCCTTGTGTTTTCAGGATTCTTAGCGCGTTTTCCCTTACTTTCCTCCCGCCTTCCCGCTCTCGCCGCCCGCGCGCCTCCCTCGCTGGGCGCCCGGGGGGGGAACCGGGACAGAACATTGGAACAGCCGTGGCGCCCCTTTTTCGAGGAGGATAACCCCATGCTCACGATAATAAACACTAGGGGATCATAAAGTTCGGGGTTCAGGGGGAGATAATCAAAGTAGCCCACCAGACCTCAGCATAATCTCGAAGTAAGAGATGATCAAGAGGAGACCAAACCGAGCACGTTTTGAGACATCCTTGGCGTTTAGTCTTCATTCAAATATCCTCAACAATGGCTTATCTCGCTGGAGACGTCCTCGACAAATCCCTTGTTTCGCTTGAGACATCCACAAACTATTGCTTATTTCGCTTGAGACACCGTCAACCTATTGCTTATTTCGCTTGAGACATCCTCGAAATAATTGTGTTTTTCGCTTGAAACATCATCAAACTATTGCTGATTTCGCCTGAACATCCTGAAACTATTGCGTATTTCGCTTGAGACATCCTGAAACTATTGCTTATTTCGCTTGAGACACCGTCAAACTATTGCTTATTTCGCTTGAGACATCCTCGAAATAGTTGTGTTTTGTATTCTCGAAGGTCTCATTGTCTGGTTCTGCTCTCTGAGCAGCCATCTGCTTGAGCAGCTCTGCTTCAGCAGCTCACCTTGAGCAGAGAGAGATAGTGAGAGAAAGAGGAGACAGGGAGGGAGAGAGAGAGAGAGAGAGAGGTGAGACTCTCTCTCTCTCTCTCCCGCCGTGCGCTCCTCTGAGGTTTATTACCGTCGGCAGTTTTTTTATCATCGGCTGAGGTTTATTATCGTCGGCAGTTTTTTATCATCGGCAGTGGTCAATCGCAACTCCTGAGCTCTCCCCGAAGACGGCGGCACGCAAATGATACGCATTTGTTTGAAAAACTTCATTTTGAAAAAAAAAAAAACTTTTTTTAATTGCGAATTCCATTGTAATCCTTTCAAAATTGCGAAATCGAGCCGTCAGGCGCTTGAATGCCACATTGCGTTCGAGATTTAAGCACGCGACGCATTTATGAGAAATTTGCGTCGCACGCGCTTTTGCCCGAATATCGAACGCAGTGTGGCATTCAGGCGCGTGCGGGTTGGAATTCGCAATTTCGAAAGGATTTCAATGGAATTCGCAACCAAATATAGTACTTTTTGTCAAAGTAAGGTTTTCAAAAAAAATGCGTGTCATGAAAAAATTGCGTCGCACACGCTTTCGCCTAAATCTCGAACGCAGTGCGGCATTCAAGCGCCTGACGGCTCGATTTCGCAAATTCGAAAAGATTCCAGTGGAATTCGCAATTGGAAACAAATATATTTTTTTCAACATGAAGTTTTTCAAAAACATGCGTATCATTTGCGTGCCGCCGTGTTCCCGGAGAGCTCAGGAGTTGCTATCGACCACTGCCGATGATAAAAAACTGCCGACGATAATAAACCTCAAGAGGTTGGGCTGAGGGGTTGTGCTGCAGGGTTGTGCTGGAGGGTTATGCTGGAGGGTTGTGCTGGAGGGTTGTGCTGGAGGGTTGTGCTGGAGGGTTGTGCGGAAAGGTTGTGCTGGAGGGTTGTGCTGGAGGGTTGTGTTGGGGGGTTGTGCTGAGAGAGAGAGAGAGAGAGAGAGAGAGAGAGAGAAAGAGAGAGAAGGAACAACAATAATATATATATATATAAAGATAAGAAAGATATAACACATTTCGCAGAACAATAAAAACCAAACAAAATCTTATAATAAAGAAGACTCATAAGAAAAATAATAAGAAGAAGAGAAGATATATAGAAATAAAGACAGATAGAGGAGGAGGAGGAAAAGCAAACATTTCAAGTTTCAAATCCATCAGTTTTTATTTAGAAGCGCTTTATGAAAATTGAGAAAGAGAGAGAGAGAGAGAGAGAGAGAGAGAGAAGAAGAGGAGATAATGAAAATCAAGAGAGGAAGGAGAGGAGGAGAGGAAAGGAGAAGACAGGAGAGGAGCAAGAGGAGAGAGAGAGATAGAGAAACAGAGAGAGAAAAAAGACAGAGAGGAAATAATAAACAACCTATGTTCCATGGATAATCAACCCCAGGGGTAAAAACAAGTTCAGGGGGGCATGGGGGGGAGAGAGACAGAGAGATAGAAAGAGAGAGAGAGAGAGAAGAAATAATGAAAATGAAGAGGAGAAGAAACATTCAAGAGGAGAAGTAGAAGAGGAGAGGAAGAGGAAAAGCAAAACAATCAAGTTCCAAATCTATTATATTCTTTTTACAAACGCTTTATGGATTTTATATATATATATGTAAAAAAAGTGCTCGTGTACGAGCTCATGTGCCTCACTTTCCGTGGATAATCAACCCCAGGGATAAACAAGTTCAGGGGCGCATGGGGAGAGAGAAAAATATAAAGGGAAACGTAAAGAAAACAAATAGAGAGTTGAGGGAAATACATAAAAAAATATTAAAAAGGAAAAGGACAAGAAGAAATGAGGAGGAGAAGTAGAAGAGGAGAGGCAAGGAGGATAAAACAAAAAATCTGAAGATTCAAATGTATTAAATTTTTATTTACAAGCGCTTTATGAAACTTAAAATTTGTAAGTGCTCGTGTAGGGTAGCTCATGTGCCTCACTTTCCGTGGATAATCAACCCCAGGGGTAAACAAGTTCAGGGGGTCATGGGGAGAGAGAGAGGAAACAAAGAACGAAATAAAGAAATATATAAAGACATAAAAATACAAATTAAGAGAAAAGAAGGAGAAGAGAAGAGGAAGAAAACGAGCAAACAATTCAAGTTCCAAATCTATTATATTTAATTTACAAGCGCTTTCTGAAAATTGTTTTTTTTGAGTGCTCGTGTAGGGTAGCTCATGTGCCTCACTTGCCATGGATAGTCAACACCAGGGATAAACAAGTTCAGGGGGGCATGGGGAGAGAGAGGAAAGAAAGAAAGAAATAAAGAAATATATAAAGAAATAAGAATATAAATTAAGCACAAAGAAAAATAATATAAGAGGAAGAAAAAGAGCAATCCTCGAGTATATGCTTGTTTCGCTTGAGACATCCTCGACAAGCTTCTCGAATCGCTTGAGACATCCTCGCAGAATTGCTGGTTTCGCTTGAGACATCCTTGAAACATTGCTCGTTTCGTTTGAGCCTGCCTCCCAAAATTCTTGGTTTCGCTTGAGACATCCTCACAGAATTGTTGTTTTCGCTTGAGACATCCTTAAGAAACGTATCGTTTCGCTTGAGACATCCTTCAGTATATGCTTGTTTCGCTTGAGACATCCTCGAGTATATGCTTGTTTCGCTTGAGACATCCTCGACAAGCTTCTCGAATCGCTCGAGACATCCTCGAGTATATGCTTGTTTCGCTTGAGACATCCTCGACAAGCTTCTCGAATCGCTTGAGACATCCTCACAGAATTACTGGTTTCGCTTGAGACATCCTTGAAACATTGCTCGTTTCGTTTGAGCCTGCCTCCCAAAATTCTTGGTTTCGCTTGAGACATCCTGAAAAAAGTGTGATCGCTTCGCTTGATCTTGCTATTTCAACATAACTTGATCTTGCTATCTCAACATAACGTTCCGAGGTGATAATGAAGTTTGGCCTCCGCGCCCCGCGCCCCCGACCAAACTCTTATTGGTCGACGATAAAAAACTCTAACGACTTAAGGGGGGGGGGTACATTATTATCGTGGGCATGGGGTTACGATTCCGCGCGCAGTGTCCCGCCCGCTCCCCCTGGAGAGGGGCAATGCACCGCCCTCGTCGGCATGCCCGCCTTCCGCGATGACGCAAGACTCCTCGCGCGAAACGGGTTCCGCAATTTCGCTGCAGCGCGCGAGACCTCCGGCGCCCCCGCGCGCCCGCAAAGCCACCCGCCCGCATCAAAAAGATGCCGCGTCGAAGTCTTTGTGCATCGACCAGTGGGAAAGGGCCTGGCCCGCGTCGCCAGACATCAACATGTCAGACTCGTGCGCTTTTCCAAGGGCCAAGCCTGCAAACGCCACGACAGGGTCGCTTTGCGAGTCGGAGGTTTGACTCAAACCTAGAAGTTGGACGCCCTGAGAGTTTGGAGGCCCGGCACGTTTGGACGATGGAAGCTTGATATACTCGGCACGAGAGGGGGGAAACAATGACTGCACGTTTAGTCGCATAGGAACATTGAAGATATGTCATTTTAAATAATTTCAATCGGTATGCTGTCACACATGGCGGCTCGCGGGATCCCCGAAATATTACATCGGGAAGAGGGGGTGGAGGAGAGGGTGGAGGGGGAACGAAAGAGTGAATTTCCAGCCAGATTCCGAATGAATGTTCTACCGGATTCTGAGTGAAAGCTCTGCCGGATTCTGAATTTTCTGCCGGGTTCTGACCGAATATGTTTTGGCGTTTTTGCGCGACCGGCCGCGAGCAGGATACAGGACAATTATTCACTCGGTTCTCGCCCCGGCTTTCATCGAAGGATTTGCCCAGGTATCATCTCAGGTATTCGCCCAAGTATTCGCCCTCAAAGTCGCCCAGGTATTCACCCACGAGGTTCGGTGCTCTTCGTTGCGGGACGTGCTTGTGGTCCGTGGCTGGGGCCCCTGAGTCGATGGACCGTGTGGTTCGACGGCTATCAAGGGCCAAGTGGTTGAAAAGCTGGCTCGGCGCAAGGCTCGCTGGTCCAAGTTTGAGCCGATCGTTACGCTGAGGAGCCGCAGGGTTTGCAGTCCTCGTGCAAGCCGAAGGGGGAGGGAGGGGGGCGCCCCAATCCCAGGAGAGGAACGCAGTTCATGGGGGGCCACATGCGAACCCTACCCCTACCCCCCACGATTTCTGAGGGGGAGGGTGGGGTTCGCATGTGGCCCCCTAGTTCAGGGAGAGGGGCGGGCAGAAGGATGCGGATTGTGTTGGAGTCGGCACTCATTTCAAGCAAGCGGGTGCTTCAGTCCACTGTGCTAGCGGACGTAAACGCCCATCTCGGCAGACGAACAAAAAAAATCAACGTTGGAATGCAACGTGCAGCGTTGCCGAATGCCGTGTCGACATCCTCGCCTGAGCGGTGCAAGCCCCCCTGGGGGCTTCTCCGGGCCCTCCCGCGGGGTTCCGACAGGCCCAGCCCTCTCGGGGCCCTCCCAGGCCGTGTGATATCTATGGGGCATGGGCCCCAACGATATCACAGGGCCAGCGAGGCCCCCAAGAGGGTCCAGGAGGGCCCCGAGAGGGCTCCAAGAAGGCCTGAGATGCCCCCCCCCTCGACAGCTTACACAGAGCTCCGAGAGGCCCTTTTGTGCCTTCCCAGGCCGCGTGATATCTATCGTTGGAGCTCCGGCCCAACGATGTCATGCCAGAAGGCTCTGGCACGGCATCGTTGGGGCCCGCGCCCCAACGATATCACGCGGCCTGGGAGGGCCCCGGCAGGGCCCAGGAGGACCCGGAGAGTGCTCCACGAGGGGCCCCAGATGGCCCCCGACGGTTTCCGCAGAGCTCCGAGAGCAGGCCGCGCAACATCGGGGGCGCTTGGGGCCTTCTCTGCAGCTGCCCTCGATCAGACCCCCTCCCGGCGGCCTCCCGGCGCCCCGCGCGGGCCGCCGAAGCCTGCCGATGGCCTCGGCTGGCCGCCGAAGGCCGCCGACGGCCGCGCCCCCGCCGCAGGCCGCCTTCCAGCTGCCCCTCCTGCCGGGCGGCGGCCCGCCGCCGCCGCGCGGCGCGCCGCAGCGCCCCGGTCCGCGCGGCGCGCTGGTGGGCCGCGCGGCGGAGCGGAAGGCCTCCCGGGCAGGAGGGCGGCGCGGAGCGCAGGGGGAGGGGGAGGGGGGGGGAGGAGGAGGAGGGAGGAGGAGGAGGAGGAGGAGGAGGGAGGAGGAGGAGGAGAGGAGGAGGAGGAGGAGGAGGAGGAGGAGGAGGAGGAGGAGGAGGAGGAGGAGCCGAGGGGATCCACCCCCGACGAGACGTCAGAGTGACCTTTCGCCGGAGTGACCTTTGGTGCGGGCACAGATGGGTCCCCCGGATGGCGGAAGACGAAGCGGTAGCAGCGGACTGCGCGTCACCCCCTGAATCCGCGCACCACAGGGCTTTGTGGCCTAGGGTTAAGTCGGGCCTGTCGCCCTACAGGGGGATTTTCGACGAAAAATGATAATTATAGCCGGAGTGCAGTATCCCCCAAAAAGGGTTTTTAGACCCACTGCGGTTTCCAAGGTCGATTGCGTGCCCGTCCAGTGCGGGCTGGCATGGCATGTTAAAACATGCCTCCTCCTCCTCCTCCTCCTCCACCTCCTCTTCATCCCGAACGGCATCTCGGAGCCCAGAGTTGCGAGGATGTCTCCAGCGTAACGGGCTGGACCACCTCGCGCGCGGCATTTCGGACCCCAGAGTTGCGACGATGTCTCTGGCGAAACGTGGTGCGAGGAAGTCTCAGGCGAAACGGGCCGGACCAGCTCGATGACCTCCTGGGGTTTCCTCCTGGGCTTCCTGTGGCCTCGGGGACCACACCTGGGGCTTCCCGAAGCCTCTTGGGGCTCCCAGGGGGGGATATCTAACATGTGGCCGTCAGGGCCCCCAAAAATGAAGGGGGGGGCCACAAGAGCAGGAAAAATCAACGAATCGGCACCGGATGTGTATTAACTTGACACGTTCTGATAGGGGGCCTCCTGGGGCCTCCTGGGAGCCTCCTGGGAATCTCCTGCGGACCCCTGGGGCCTGTCCTGGGCGTCCTGCGGCCTCCTGAAGCTCTCTGGGGCCTCCTGGGGCTCCCAGGGTCCCAGGGAGGATATGTAACATGTGGTCTTCTGGGCCCCTAGGCTGGACCACCTCTTGCGCGGCATCTGAGAGCTCAGACTTGCGAGAATGTCTTGTGCGAAACAGGCCGGACCACCTTGCGCACGGCATCTCAGAGCTCAGAGTTGCGAGGATGTCTCAGGCGAGATGGGCTGGGCCACCTCGCGCAGGGCATCTCGGAGCCTAGAGTTGCGAGGATGTCTCCAGCGTAACGGGCTGGACCACCTCGCGCGCGGCATCTCGGACCCCAGAGTTGCGACGATGTCTCGGTTGAAACGTGCTGCGAGGAAGTCTCAGGCGAAACGGGCCGGACCAGCTCGAGCGCGGCGTCTCAGAGCTCCGAGTTGCGTGGGCCTCCTGGGGCCTCCTGGGGCCTCCTGGGGACCTCCTGGGGCTTCCTCCTGGGCCTCCTGTGGCCTCCTGAACTCCACCTTGGGCTTCCTGAAGCCTCTTGGGGCTTCTAGGGGGATATCTAACATGTGGCCGTCGGGGCAACCCTAAAATGGGGGGGCACAAGAGCAGGAAAAATCAACGAATCGGCACCGGATGTGTATTAACTTGACACGTTCTGATAGAGGGCCTCCTGGGGCCTCCTGGGAGCCTCCTGGGAATCTCCTGCGGACCCTTGGGGCCTGTCCTGGGCGTCCTGCGGCTTCCTGAAGCTCTCTGGGGCCTCCTGGGGCTCCCAGGGAGGATATGTAACATGTGGTCTTCTGGGCCCCCAGGCTGGACCACCTCTCGCGCAGCATCTGGGAGCTCAGAGTTGCGAGAATGTCTTGTGCGAAACAGGCCGGACCACCTTGCGCACGGCATCTCAGAGCTCAGAGTTGCGAGGATGTCTCAGGCGAGACGGGCCGGACCACCTCGCGCAGGGCATCTCAGAGCTCAGAAGTTCGAGGATGTCTCAAGCGAAACGGGCCGGACCACCTCTCGCGCGGCATCTCCGAGGTCAGAGTTTCGAGGATGTCTCAGGCGAAACGGGCCGGACCACCTCGCGCAAGGCATCTCAGAGCTCAGAGTTTCGAGGATGTCTCAGGCGAAACGGCCCGGACCACCTCTCGCACGGCACCTCGGGGCTTAGAGTTTCGAGGATGTCTCAAGCGAAACGGCCCGGACCATCTCTCGCGCGGCGTCCCGGAGCGGAACTTTTCGAGGATTTCTCAGGCGAAACGGCCAATCCCGGCCAACTCAGAAACGAGAGTTGTGAGGATGTCTCAAGCGAAACGGCCCGGACCATCAATTTTTTGTGAGGATGTCTCTGCTCCGACTTCCCTCGGCCGGAGTTATCTTTTATCACAACAGCACCCCGTTCAGCAAGCTGTTTGGGGAAAAATCCTGTTTGAGCCCAGAGTTGCGAGGATGTCCCAGGTCGCACCTGGTCGACGAGTAAGCTGTCGGGTCGGCACTGTGAGAGGCTCCACCGCCATGCTGTGAGCTCAGAAGCATTTTTAAGAGGAAGCGGGGGAGGGCGCGGAAGCGGGGGGGCATGTCGTGATGGTTCCCTCGGGGATGATATCGAGAGGTACGCGGAGCACGTCTCAAAAGAAAAATCGTGACGTCGGATGTCTGGGGAGGGCAGAAGGCAGTGCGCGCATGACGGATGCTGAGGCGGCAGAAACGACGACGGCGGGGACGGGGAGGCGGAGGCAGAGGCGCAGCAGCGGGAGGCGGGAGGCGGGAGGAGGGAGGAGGGAAGAGGAACCAGGCGGGAAGTGGGAAGAGGGAGGCGGGAGAAGGAATGAGAGAGGTTGTGATTGGAGCTCCTGTGCTACGAAACGTCTCAGGCAGAATGGGCCAGACCATCTCGCGCGCAACATCTTCGAGCCTCGCATTGCGAGGATGGCTCAATCGAAACGGGCCGGACCACCTCGCGAGCGACATCTTGGAGCTCAGTATTGGAAGGATGTCTCAAACGAAACGGGCCGGACAATCTTTCGCACACGTTTTGACAAGTCCACATCGCACTCGCTTCCCGTTAGGTCCTCTCCTGCAACTCCCTTCCTTCTCCTCCTCCTCCTCCTCCTCCTCCTCCTCCCCCTCCTCCTGCCTGCTCCCTCATGCACATCATCCGCCTCCTCCTTCTCCCTTCCATCTCCTTCTCCTTCTCCTCCTCCTCCTCCTCCTCCTCCTCCTCCTCCTCGACCTCCCCTTCATCCCGAACGGCATCTCGGAGCCTAGAGTTGCGAGGATGTCTCCGGCGTAACGGGCTGGACCACGTCGCGCGCGGCATCTCGGTCCCCAGAGTTGCGACGATTTCTCGGGCAAACGTGGTGCGAGGAAGTCTCAGGCGAAACGGGCCGGACCACCTCGAGCGCGGCGTCTCAGAGCTCCGAGTTGCGGGGGCCTCCTGGTGCCTCCTGGGGCCTCCTGGGGACCTCCTGGGGCTTCCTCCTGGGCCTCCTGTGGCCTCCTGAACTCCACCTGGGGTTTCCTGAAGCCTCTTGGGGCTCCCAGGGGGGATATCTAACCTGTGGCCGTTTGGGCCTCTCCAAATGGAGGGGGGGGCACAAGAGCAGGAAGAATCAACGAATCGACACCGGATGTGTATTAACTTGACACGTTCTGATAGGCGGCCTCCTGGGGCCTCCTGGGAGCCTCCTGGGAATCTTCTGGGGACCCCTGGGGCCTGTCCTGGGCGTCCTGCGGCCTCCTGGAGCTCTCTGGGGCCTCCCCCTCCTCCTGCCTGCTCCCTCATGCACATCATCCGCCTCCTCCCTTCCATCTCCTCCTCCTCCTCCTCCTTCTCCACCTCCTCTCCTTCCCTACGGCATCTCGGAGCTTAGAGTTGCGAGGATGTCTCCAGCGTAACGGGCTGGACCACCTCGCGTGCGGCATCTCGGACCTCAGAGTTGCGACGATTTCTCGGGCGAAACGTGGTGCGAGGAAGTCTCAGGCGAAACGGGCCGGACCACCTCGAGCGCGGCGTCTCAGAGCTCCGAGTTGCGGGGGCCTCCTGGGGCCTCCTGGGGCCTCCTGGGGCTTCCTCCTGGGCCTCCTGTGGCCTCCTGGACCCCGCCTGGGGCTTCCTGAAGCCTCTTGGGGCTCCCAGGGGATATCTAACCTGTGGCCGTTTGGGCCTCTCCAAATGGAGGGGGGGGGGGGGCACAAGAGCAGGGAAAAGCAACGAATCGACACTGGATGTGTATTAACTTGACACGTTCTGATAGGGGGCCTCCTGGGGCCTCCTGGGAGCCTCCTGGGAATCTTCTGGGGACCCCTGGGGCCTGTCCTGCGCGTCCTGCGGCCTCCTGGTGCCTCCTGGGGCCTCCTGGGGACCTCCTGGAGCTTCCTCCTGGGCCTCCTGTGGCCTCCTGAACTCCACCTGAGGTTTCCTGAAGCCTCTTGGGGCTCCCAGGGGGGATATTTAACCTGTGGCCGCTTGGGCCCCTCAAAAAGGAGGGGGGGGCACAAGAGCAGGAAAAATCAACGAATCGACACCGGATGTGTATTAACTTGACACGCTCTGATAGAGGGCCTCCTGGGGCCTCCTGGGAGCCTCCTGGGAATCTCCTGGGGGCCCCTGGGGCCTGTCCTGGGCGTCCTGCGGCCTCCTGGACCTCTCTGGGGCCTCCTGAGGCTCGCAGGGTCCCATGGAGGATATGTAACATGTGGTCTTCTGGGCCCCAGGCTGGACCACCTCTCGCGCAGCATCTGAGAGCTCAGAGTTGCGAGAATGTCTTGTGCGAAACAGGCCGGACCACCTTGCGCACGGCATCTCAGAGCTCAGAGTTGCAAGGATGTCTCAGGCGAGACGGGCCGGACCACCTCGCGCAGGGCATCTCAGAGCTCAGAAGTTCGAGGATGTCTCAGGCGAAACGGGCCGGACCACCTCTCGCGCGGCATCTCCGAAGTCAGAGTTTCGAGGATGTCTCAGGCGAAACGGCCCGGACCACCTCGCGCAAGGCATCGCAGAGCTCAGAGTTTCGAGGATGTCTCAGGCGAAACGGCCCGGACCACCTCTCGCACGGCACCTCGGGGCTCAGAGTTTCGAGGATGTCTCAAGCGAAACGGCCCGGACCACCTCTCGCGCGGCGTCCCGGAGCGCAACTTTTCGAGGATGTCTCAGGCGAAACGGCCAATCCCGGCCAACTCAGAAACGAGAGTTGTGAGGATGTCTTAAGCGAAACGGCCAAAACCATAAAATTTGTATGAGGATGTCTCTGCTCCGACTTCCCTCGGCCGGAGTTAGCTTCTATCACAACAGCACCCCGTTCAGCAAGCTGTTTGGGGAAATACCCCCAAAATATTCAAAAAATGGAAACAAATATTCAAAAAATAGTCCCCAGACTATTTTTGAACTATTGTTTTATTATTTTTGGTGTATTTTTTGTATTTGTCGTCGAAAATCCCCCTGTGGGGGACACGCCCGACTTGAGCATAGGGTCACTTCCGCAGACGGCATCTATACACCACCACCGTGCCTGGCCTGGGCCATCCCTAAGCCCCACTGTGGTGTGTACGCCCTCCTGGCATCGGGCAGGAGGGCGTCCACGCCATGCCATGGCCCAGGCTGACCCTGGCCAGGCACGGTGGTGGTGTATAAATGCCGTCTGCGCATCTTGCGTGTAGCAGGTAAGTTTAAGTCGGGCCTGTCCCTCTACAGGGTTTGGCTAATAAAAAATAAAGAATACTCGAAAGATGTCCCCAAATACTAACAAAAATAGTGCCGATAAGTGTAGTCCGAGCAAATCCATTCAGAGCCGAGGGGCCCCATCCTCCCTGCGGGAGATTTTCCGCCTCACAGAGCCCCGGGACCGTCAAAGTCCTGGGGAGGGGGTCGAACACTCAGGGGGTCCACGTCGTGAACACATCACTACTCGCAGAGCGCCTGCGTGCAAACGTCCGAGCACCATACACGTCTGCCTCGAGGCAAGGGGTCGTAACTTACCATCGGCGGATCCAGGCCATTCGCGAGTGGCTACTCTGCGGGTCGGGGAAGGGCTTGTTCCACAACGTCGGGTGTCTTGGTCTGGCAGGACTCCGCCAGTTCTCGGGCGGCGCTGGGCCCAGCCGTCCAGCCGGAGCAGGGCCAGCCGGAGCCGAGGGGCTCCAGGCGGTGGGCCTCCAGCTGGCCTCGGCCACCTGTCGGGCGGTTGCCGGGTCCAGCCGGAGCAGGGCCCGTCGCAGCCGAGGGGCTCCCGGGTGGTGGGCCCCCAGCCGGGCTCGGCCTCGTCTCGGGCGACGCTGCGCTCAGCTGGAGCAGAGCAGCAGGGTTGGTCCGAGGGGCTCCCCATCCGGTGGGCCTCCAGCTGGACTTGGCCGAGGAGGGGGGAGATCTCGTTCGCCATTGGCCTTCGCTTATGTGCTCTCGCAGGAACGGCTTTCACGAGTGGGGGATGGGGGAGGGTCACATCACGAGTCGCGCTGGCGCGCCGTCTGAGAATCAGCTCGAGCTACCCCTAGCCGACCAGACGGCGCTGGCGGCAATCGTTGCGTTACCAGGGAGAGGAGGGGGTGAAGGAGGGTGGGGCGCTACCTTGCTAATGAGCGTTATCACGAGTGGTTCAAGTGTTTTATGGATGACAGGGGGGAAGAAGGACGCGCTCCTCCTCCTCCTCCTCCTCCTCCTCCTCCTCCTCCTCCTCCTCGTTATCATCATCAGCACCATCATCGTCACCACCATTATCACCATCATCATCAGCATAATCACCATCACCACTATCATCGTCATCCTCATGCTCATGCTCATCCTCATCCTCATCCTCATCATCATCATCATCATCATCATCATCATCATCATCATCATCATCATCACCACCAGCAGCTACATCATCGTCATCGGCACCATCATCGCCACCGTCACCACCATCACCTCACCACCCTCACCACACTCAGCACCACCACCCTCACCACCACTACCACCGTCTCACCGTCACCACCATCACCAATACCACCACCATCACCATCACCACCATGACCACAATCACCATCACCATCACCATCACCACCGTCACCACCATCACCAATACCACCACCGTCCGCACCATCATCACCACCATCATCATAACCATCAGCATCAGCATCATCACCATCGTCATCACCACTATTTCCACCATCATCACCATCACCATCACCATCATCACCACCATCATCACCATCATCACCATCATCATCACCACCATCATCATCATCACCACCATCATCATCAGCAGCATCATCATCATCATCGTCGTCGTCGTCGTCCTCGTCGTCATCATCATCATCATCATCATCATCATCATCATCATCATCATCATCATCATCATCATCATCATCATCATCATCATCATCATCATCATCATCTTGAGAAGTACTACCATCCTCGTGACAATCGCCATCGTCATTTTCACCACCTCTTCGGGCCCTGGTGGCATCTCAGCCCTCGGGCCAGCCCCCGCGGGCCAGCCCCCGGGCGCGCCCCGACCGCCCGCCTCCCCCCCCCCTCGCTGACGCCCGCCCGGGCAGGAGGGACCCCGCGGCCCCTCGCCCGACGTCGGCCTCCCGGCTCCCGCCCCCCTGGAGGAGGAGCCCGACGTCGGCCTCCCGGCTCCCGCCCCCCTGGAGGAGGAGGAGGAGGAGGAGGAGGAGGAGAGGAGGAGGAGGAGGAGGAGGAGGAGGAGGAGGAGGAGAGGAGGAGGAGGAGGAGGAGGAGGAGGAGGAGGGAGGAGGAGGAGGAGGAGGAGGAGGAGGAGGGAGGAGGGGGGAGGAGGAGGAGGAGGAGGAGGAGAGGAGGAGAGGAGGAAGAGGAGGAGAGGAGGGAGGAGGAGGAGGAGGAGCAAGAGGAGGAGGCGGAGGAGGCGGAGGAGGAGGAGGAGGAGGAGGAGGAGCAGGAGGAGGAGGAGGAGATCCTACGAGCCGAAGTGAGTACCTTTGGGCAGGCCCGACGAAGAAGTCAGCTGTGGGGCAGAGCAGTTCTTTTGCCGATCCCCGGCCCCCGCGGACCTCCATTGTTGCCCCGCCCTCCTTCAGCCCAGGCAGCGGGGCCCTCAAAAAGACGCTGGGTGGGACGGCCCCTTCTGGAGAAGGGGAGAGAGAAGGGGGGACTGCGGCGCGAAGCCTGGGAAACCAAGGAAAGCCCTCGCCGTGTGCCTATGTTTCGAGTGCCCCTTCTTGGCTTCTCGGCAGTGTGGGCAACCGATGGCCAGACGACTGCCGCAGTGGGAGAGACTCTCCCCAGGAGGGGAAAGCACACAGGCACAATTCACCGTCGACTCCCAGGCAAATATAGGAAAATGTAGGAAGTGGGGGAACACGAAAACCCAGCGGTGTGTGTCCCTGGGCCCCTTTTGAGCTCCCTCCCGTGCCCCTCCCGGAGGCTCCTCCCCTTCCGCCCCACCCCGCCGTCGATCCCGCTGCCTCCCTCCTCCCGCTCCCTGCCCCCCCCCCGCTCCCTCCCCCTCCGGGCCCCTGGTCCCTCCCCCCGTCGTCCCCCCTCCCCCTCGCTCTTTCCGTCGCCCCCCTCCCGCTCCTCCCTCCCGGTCCTCGCTCCTCTCCCCCGTCGTCCGCCCGCCCCTCGCGCTCCGCCCTGAGCAGAAACTTTTGGCGCTCCGCGCAGATCTCTTGCGTCGGGGCTGGGCCCCCCTGCCGGCGCCTTCGGCGCCCGCCCCTGGCCGGGGGTCCGGCGCAGATCCGAGGCATCCGCGCGGAGCGCCAGCAGTCTATGCTCATGCAGTGGCTCCTTCCTCCCCTCGCGCTCCCTTCCGCTCCAGCCCCGTTCCTTCCTTCCTTCTTCCCTTCCTTCTTCCTTCTTCCTTCCTTCCTCCCCTCGCGCTCCCCCTGCCCTCCCACTCTCGCTCCGCCCCCTGCGTGAGCTGCCTCGATGCGTACACGCCCGTTCTGGTGCGCAGCGCCTGCCGTGCTCGAGACGCCCGTGCTAACAACATGCTGCGTGCCGGCTCAGTGTGTTGGCCCACGTTTTGGCGAGCGGATCGCTTCAGACTTGCGTTTTCAGTTTTCGTGTTGAGCTCCGTGTCAACACGCTGCGTGTTGCGTGCTGCGCATCGGGGCAAAGCTAAACCTGATGGGCCCGTTTTCCACCACCACCACAAGTTGGAGGGGGGAAGGAGGAGGAGGAGGAGGAGAAGGAGGAGGACGAGGAGGAGGAGCACGGAGGGGAGGAGGACGAAGAGGAGGGAGAGGAGGAGGAGGAGGAGGAGGAGGAGGAGGAGGAGGAGGAGGAGGACGAAGAGGAGGAGGACCCCCCCTCCCCCTCCAACTCGTGGTGGTGGTGGTGGAAGGCAGGCCCATCGAAGCCCGCGCGCCGTCGATTCTCCCGCCCTCGCGCGCGTCGTCGCCGAGCGCCTCGGGCAGCCTGCCGAGGCCCGGGCGCGGGGGCGGGCGCGGGCGGCGGGTCTCGGGGGCGGCAAAGAGGGGGGTGATGAATGGGGGGGGGATATCATGGCGTGGGCCATGATATTTCCCCAGCTTACATGGCGCTTCGTCTCATTTGATCATGTCCCTGGCCCCCCCCGCCGGGCCGCGCACATGCCGCCGGTCATGATTTGCACCCCCCCCTCTTGGACACGTTGCTCAGGCAGTGGCGAAGCGTCCTGGCTCGCCTATCGCCCTACCAAACAATGTTCTAGGAACCTTGTGTGGTTTCCAGGAAATGTTTTTAGAGCATGTTTGATTGGGACTGTCTTGGTTTAGTACATCGGGTTAACGTTCTAAGACCATTGCTTTTGTTTTCCGAACATTTTTGTGGGTTCTACGAACATTTCGTGGTAGGACTGTACGAATGCTGGGAGGGTCGGTCCCTGCTCAAGTTGCGGCAGCCTCAGGTCGGGCACGTCACTCTACAGGAGGGATATTCAGAACCAGTCCAAGAATAGTGTGGGGACGATTTCTTAGTATGTGTTTAGCATAGATTCGGTATTCTTCGTTTTTCTCCAAGATCCGCCTGTAGGCGGACATGCCCGACCTACGGGTAGCCTGGGGCAGGCGTACATCGCGGCAGTCGAGGTGAGCGTCAAGGAAGGGTTCGACATGGCGTTCGCGGATGCCTCCCTTCAGAATTGCAGATACTCCTTCCGGGAGCCAGGCAACCTGCGCTTCGACCTGCTGGTGGACCAGGATCGTGAACAGTGGGAGACCGACCCCAGTCCCCACAACTATTGAGTATTTGGCTTACGCCGCACCGCCGACCCCTTGGGGGAGAGTCGCTGTTGCGGCTTCTGTGTGCTGCGTGATTTTACTTGTATTTCGATCTAGTGGCCTTCGGTCCATCCCGCCACCATGCCTGGGTTGTGGTCCAGAGGTCTCTTGGATGTTTGTTGGGAACTCGTGAGGAGCCTTCGGGGGCCTGCCCGAGGCAGTTTGGAGGCCTCTGGGGGGCTGTTTTGGGGCCTCTTGGAGCCTCTTTTGGGCCTCTTCGGGGTCTCTTGAATTTGGGGTTCATGGTCCCTCTCCTGGGCCCTTTTTGGGCCTCTCTTTGGGCCCTCCTGGGGCCCTCTTGGGCTGTCTTTCGGCCCTTTGGGGCCGTCTTGGGGCCCTTTTGGGGCGTCTTGGGGCGTGCTTGGGGGCCGCTTGGGCCGTCTTGAGGCGGTCGTGGGGGCCTCTTGGGCCGTCTTCGAGCGTCGGAAGCCGGAACAGGCGAGGAAGACAGAACATTTGAACAACAAACAATGAAACATCACTGATTTTGGCCTCTTGGGGTCCTCTTGGAAAGCCTCTTCGAAGCCTCGGGGCGTCTTGGAGGTATCTTGGGCCGTCTGGAGGCCATCCTGGGCGTCTTGGGACGATGTTTCGGCGAGTCGGGGCCCACGTGGACCGTCTGGGAGGTCTCTCGGGGCCCTCGTGGCCTGTTTTGAAGCCTTCGATGCTCTCTGGGCAGAATTCCTGGAGCAAAGTAACCCCCCTCGGCCGGCCTGGATAGACACCCCACCCTTCCAAATCGACCGGATCCGGCTCTGGCGGAGGGGTTTGGGGAGGGGGAAGCATCTCACACGCGATGGAACCCCAAGGGGTCGGCGGATTTTAAATGCAAACGTTTTGCAGTTGTGGCGAAGGTGCGCAAGTGTAGGCGCCCTGTGGGCGAGGCCGTTGCCGTACACTTTGTCTAAGGTTTCTCATGCGGGGGGCGGATTCAGACATAGTTATTTGTATCATGTGCGCCTCGCTTCCAAGTGGGGCGGCCTGCTCACTGCAACATCCTGCAACTCGTAGAGTCAAGTCGGGTACGTCCCTTTATATGAGGAGCATTCCAAAATAGTCAACGTGTTCTTCTTCTGATTTTATTCCCCATATCCTAAGATGGGGTTCTTGTTATTACTTGGACGCCTCCTACTGCCTCTCCCTCCTCCTCTTTCCTCCTCCCCTCCTCCTCTTTCCTCATACTCAGACCTACTCATACTCAGACTTACTCATACTCAGACTTCCTCATACGCAGACCTACTCCTACTCAGACTTACTCACACTCAGACATACTCATACACAGACTTACTCATACACAGACTTATTCACACCCAGACGTACTCATACACAGACTCACTCATACCCAGACTTACTCATACACAGTATTAGTCATACTCAGACTTACTCATACCCAGACGTACACACACAGACTTTCTCATACACAGACCGACTCATACCCAGACTTACTCATACACAGATTTACTCATACACAGACTTACTCATACTCAGGCATACTCATTTTCAGCACCCCTAAGGGGAGCCGCCAGGGGTGGTTGCACGGGCTCGTTCGCGGCCATTTTGTGGGGATGTCCCAGGCGGTTTGCTTGTTTCTGGGCTCAACATCCTTCGCTTGGAGAGCAGATTGTGAGGATGTCTCAGGCGGGGCGCTGGTTTCAGCACCCCTAAGGGGAGCCGCCAGGGGTGGTTGCACGGGCTCGTTCGCGGCCATTTTGTGGGGATGTCTCAGGCGGTTTGCTGTTTCTGGGCCCAACATCCTTCGCTTGGAGAGCAGATTGTGAGGATGTCTCAGGCGGGGCGCTGGTTTCAGCACCCCTAAGGGGAGCCGCCAGGGGTGTTGCACGGGCTCGTTCGCGGCCATTTTGTGGGGATGTCTCAGGCGGTTTGCTTGTTTCTGGGCTCAACATCCTTCGCTTGGAGAGCAGATTGTGAGGATGTCTCAGGCGGGGCGCTGGTTCAGCACCCCTAAGGGGAGCCGCCAGGGGTGGTTGCACGGGCTCGTTCGCGGCCATTTTGTGGGGATGTCTCAGGCGGTTTGCTTGTTTCTGGGCTCAACATCCTCCGCTTGGAGAGCAGATTGTGAGGATGTCTCAGGCGGGGCGCTGGTTTCAGCTTGAGATGTTCCCGCCCCCACAGGGGCTCTGTCCTTGCATAATAATTGAACTACTCCAAAACTGCTCCGAAAAGTACTCCCGACAACTAGTGCGACGCACGGCGACTGCGCCGAACTGCTCATTACAACTACTCGAAAAGTAGTCGTGGAATTGCTTTTTTTTTCGAGGGCCCGGTTTCAACTACTTGGTTTTTGATGGCTTTTCGATGACATCGGCGGCACCAGAACTCGAGCCCGTCTCCGAAAGCCGCGCGGGAGTTGTCGCAGAGAGGCGAGAGTGCACGCACGGGCCTTCGGTTGGTATACGCGGACGACACCCCGCATGCGTCACCAGCCGCGACAAAGCCCTGCCTGCAAACTCGCCCTATCCGCGACAACTCCCACATGGTCTTCGCAGCGCAACTCGCCCCTCCCACTCGGGCGACCGATCCCCGCCGTACGTGGAAGAAAACGGAGAGGAACCTGATGGCAGGACTATGGGGGGAGGGCGAGGGGGGGAGGAAGCGAAGGGGGATGGAGGAGGGCGGGGGAGGCGTGGAGAGGAGGAAGGATGAGGAGGGACGCAGGAGTGGGAGAGCCGATTTCCCTTTCTCAAAACAGAATAGCGTGCGGCGGCCTCGCCGCCGAACGTCGCGGGGCCAAGCGCCGCCCGCCTACTTGAACACGAGCGCATCCTTCATGCGCTGCAGCAGCTTCGGGTGGATCAGCGAGCGCAGCTTCGCCTCCTTCTCCTTTGCCGCCTCCGTGCCATTGCCGACGATCTTCTTGTTCTGGGCCTGGCATTTCGACCGCAAGCCGAGCTTGTCCTCGGTCTTCGTAGTGTTGAAGATGTGCACCAGCATGCCGTCGATCTCCGAGCACTGTATCTGGATGGCCAGGTCCGCCGCCTGCTGGATCTTGTCCTCGTCAACCTTGAAGCCGTACACCTCGCTCTTGCCCTTGTAGCGCTGGACGGCCTGCCGCAGGCCGTCAAGCCGCCCCCGCGCGGAAGAGGCGGAGGAGGACCATCACGGACGAGGAGGAAGAGGAGGGCGATATGAGGAGGACAAGGAAACGAGCATGAGGAGGGCGAGGACGGGGATGAGGAGGGCGATGATGAGGAGGGCGAGGGGGATGAGGTGGACGAGGAGGACGAGATGGGCCCCCGATGAAGAGGAGGACGGGGAGGAAGAGGATCATCATGGAGGGATGGGGAGGTGAGACAGGAGGAAGGGGAGGAAGAAGAGGAGCGGAAGGCGGGGGAGGATGCGGACGGGGGGTGGGGCGAGGGGGGGGGGGGGGACCGAGGGCGGGAGGGAGAAGGGTGACCGAGGGCGAAGATGAGGAGGGCGGAAGGAGACGATCGAGCGGCGATGACGACGGGAGGAGGGAGTGGAGGAGGGCGATAATACACGGGGGAGGGCTTCTGATTTGGAGGGGGATGGGCGCGGGATGACGAGGACGAGGCGGTGATGGGGTGTGGGGGTGAGTGAGGAGGGAGTCGTGAGGTCACCATCTCCTCGTCCGAACCCATCCCCGACGCCATCCTCGTCGCCGTCGCCGCCCCCGCCCCCCGAGCCTCCTCCAACGCCTTCGCGCCATCTCGGAGCTCCTTCGCGCCCACGCGGTTCGGGGAAGACCATGCCGCCACCGACTCGGCCATGAACTTATCCCAGGCGTCCGAACCGCACGACGCGGACCACTTCTCGTTCTTCAAGCCGCCCTTGATGGTGTCGGCCGTCGCGATCTCGACCTCGAGCTTCATAGATTCTGCATCGGTGCCCTGCGAGAGGAGCTCCTTGTTCGCGTCCTTGCAGTCGCCGTACACGCAGCTCGACTCCTGGTCGCGGAAAGCCTCTGGGACGTCGTCGGAGCCGATGCAGCGCAGCAGTTCGTCATGGGATGCCAGCAACTGCTGGAACTTCACAGCCTGGTCGCACTCTGGATCCCTCGTGAACCTCTCAGACGCGTCCGCGCCGCTGTCATTGTACGTCTTCGTCTTGACCATCATGTTGCACCGCGTCAAAAAGAGCTCGTTGAGATCCGAGAGCTTGCCAGCAGCCTCTTTGGGGAGGAGCTTGATGAGATCGCTTGCAATCGCCGCGCAAGAGGCTGCGGTGCCCTCGACCATAGGTACGCCAGTCTCTCCAAGCAGGGCCGAGTGCATATTGCCGATGATCATCTTGATGTCACCGATGGCGGTGCTCTCGGCTGGAAGCTCGTCGATAGCTGCCACCACGGCGACTGCCTGCTTAAGCCCGACCATCGTCTCGTTGCCGTCGACATTCGCAACGTCCTCCTTCGACAAGCGAGCCGCCGTCGATGCGTGAGCCTCGAACGACGCCAGCCGCTGCAAGCCCGAGAATGAAGCGAGCTTCGCGGAGACCACCTCGATCTTCTTCTGGAAAGTGTCCTCGATGGGCCACGCGATGGTCGCCTCTTGCAGCACCTTCATCATGTAGTTCAGTGAATGCACAATCCTCCGAAGCGCGATCTCACCATCAGCGTGCCTCTCGTCGGCTGCCTGCATCTCTTTGTCAACGAGCGAACTCACGTAGGCACAGAACTTCGCGTCGATGACCGTGTACATATCTGCGCAAAGTGACGACTGCAGACAGGCAAGCGAGCGGAGGCCGTCCACAATTTCATCGGCCATCTCCTTCGTCAAGCCATCGCTGTTGCCCATTGTCCTCATTACCTTATCGACCGATACCTTGGACTGCATCATCGTTTTCTCGAACCTCAGGATGTTGGAGAGACGCTCGTGCCACCATGGGGGCCCCCCCAGTGCAACGCCGACGCGCGAAGTTGACTCCCTCGACGCCGTGTT